ATGGTAGAAATAGCTCTTTGGGGCAGTGATTCTGAAGCCAAATGACAGCAAGCAAGCAGCAGGGTTTCCCGTGTCCACCCGCAACCAAGGATGGCTGCTAAGGGCATAAGAAAGGAACATACAGCTCTCTCTACATGTAGGCGTTTACAGTCAAAAGTGCATGGTGCAGGTACCCACACAGCTAAAACTCCTGAAGGCATCTCATGGCCTCACTTCCTCAGATGTGATAAGGTCAAGTTGCTTGAAAATGGTAGTCAGTGGTTTTCTCTTCCTTACAGCCAGGCATTGAATTAATTTTGAGTCCTGATGCCTTATAGCGGAGGAGGGAGTTGAAAAACTGTGACTGTTACATATAACACAAGAGTGCCCATTATTGTTGGGACACTATGAGCCAAAACTAGTTGTGACATCAGGGTTTAAATCTCCCACTGTACATTTTTTAAAAAGTAGAGGGTGGGGTGGATTTTGAGGGTGCTTTCCTGGTTGAGTATATTTCAAAAGGAGGTAAAGGCTTTGGTTCTTTTCTTTGCAGTCTGGCCGAACACCATGTCTCTGTTCCTTTCATGCAGGGATTTCCGTAGCTGAAGAAAAGGTGATATTTGGGGTGCAGAACAACTCAACGTTTCTCGAGTGCCTTCCATCTTCCCCCCAGACAACAATGCGCTGGCTTGTACAGCACAGCAATACAGGAATCCTGGAAGAGGTAATGGGGGTGGGACGCTAAAGGAAAACTTTACTAGAACTGCGGGGGCCCCCTGTGTGATAGAGGGACGAAATAGCTACCTTAGGAGGGGACAAGTAAGAAGGAAAGGGAAACCCCCTCTACCTTTTCTCTGGCTACATCTGGCTAAGTAAGGCCCCGGTGGTTGTGTTCCCCGCAGGTTGGGAACGCTGGCCGCTTTTCAGTCCTGGAGCAAGGACTGCTGATCAGTCAGCTGACACAAGAAGATGCTGGGGTCTACCACTGTCAAGGAATGGAGCAGTCCTTCTCCCAGACTCTCACCCGCTATGGCCTTCGTGTGATTGGGCACCAGGCTATGGAAGTTTTAACCTCCAGGACTAGGAAAAATACTGAAGCAGCAGCAAGCCACCACGGTGTCATCCCCTTGGCAGAGACGCAGCTTCCTTACAAGGGCTACTCGAGGGCTCTGGGTGCATCCAGCTCCAATTTGGATGAGTTCTGCAACGCTCTCCAGCAGAGGAGGAGGCGGAGGCAGAAAGACTGGAATCGGAAGTGGCAACAGCACCACTTGGAAAGCAAGAGGGGCAGAGTGCGGAGGCAGCCTGGGCCTCCATAGCAGGCTTGCCTGTGCTGCAGATGGATGCCAGAAGCCCAACTGGGTTCACCAGCTCACCTTCCGAGTCCCTTCAGCTGAACAGCCCCCATGCAGACAAGCCTGCCTGCTGGAGCCTCTAGGTTCCACCTGCTGCTGTCAAGGCTAAGAGAAATATGGATGTGTGAGGAATGCAGTGGGATTCCATACCTAGCCTCAGGCCAAACAGACTGCCTTTTCTGGTCTAGCGACTGGCAGAAACTCTTTTCAGAATAGGCTAGACAAGACAGCATCAGGTTCTAACTGTACTGCAAGATCTTTTATTTTGTACACGTTGGTCTTCTCTGTATCGTTCCACTTTCAGTAGACGTGCTGGCAAAACTAGAATCTCTATGCATGGCAATTATTTTGTACAGCATTTTTTAACTGGGGCCGTTTATTAAGAAATCAAGAGAACAGATATTCTCCTGTAGTTTTCTATTCAAAGGAAGACCTATAATTCTAAATAGTGGTGACTGTCATCTGCAGATGCAAAATTGTGGGTCACTGGCTTCTTACCGGCAAGAGAGGACAGAAGAGCTGTGTTCCCTAAAAATAGGGAGCTTTTGTGCAGTGGGACAAACATCTACTGCCATGCATGCCTGGGTTTATCATACACTCTGTTTAAAATGTGTATTTCACATGCACATGTAGTACTTTCAGATGTACACCTTTACACTTTTAGCACACAGACTTCAGTTTCTAGCAATGGGCACACCACTGTTTTGCTATGATGGTGTCTGCTCTGGTAGTTCACCCGTTACCTCTTAATTTTAAAAGCTCCCCCCCCCCCCCCCCTTCCCCTCCCAGCTTTTTTC